CGTGCGCAGGAGGCTGCTCGTCCTCCTCTTTTGGCAGCTCTCGGCCCGACCGAGGTGCTGGCCGACGCGGCCGCTCGACCAGTGGAAGGAGGAGGGGAAGGAGGGGGGGAGGCGCAGGAAGAGGAGGAGGAGGAGGAGGAGGAGGAGGAGGAGGAGGAGGAGGAGGAGGAGGAGGAGGAGGGGAAGGAGGAGGAGGCGGAGGAGGAGGAGGAGGAAGAGGAGGAGGAGGGGGAGGAGGAGGAGGAAAAGGAGGAGGAGGAGGAGGAGGAGGCGGCGAGCACAGCCAACCCCCGATGGTACCACGTGGGGTGCTTGGAGGGAGGTCTGGGCCCGGAGGCGGACGTGGAGGGCATGGCCGACCTGAGTCCCGAAGACCAGGCCCAAGCCAGAGCTCACTGCGACCAACCAGGAGGCCGGACTCGAGCCGAGTTCGTGGAGGAGGCGCGGAGAGCAAAACGCGCTAGAGTGGCGCAGAGGGCTGCCCCGCCTGCCGGGACGGCCGCGGCGCCCTCGGGAGGCGGCGCGGCGGCGCCAGCAGAACCAGGGGGAACGGCGGCATCGTCCGGACAGAGAGCTGGAGTCGGAGGAGGAGGAACTGGAAGGGCAGCGGCCGGTGGCCAGCAGCAGCCCTCGCAGCAGCCTGACGACGACTGGCCGGGCGACGCGGACTTGCCTGAAGACAGAGAGCAACTGGGGCAACACGAAGGCTACTTGCAGGAGGACCTCCAGAACATGGAGTGGTGGGACACCGTGAATTACGACGAGCTGCGCGACTGGGTCCCCACGCTGGGCAACACGCCGAAAGACGTCCACCACGGCCTCGCGGTTCTGCGGGGCACGGTCTGCAAGGAAATCATCATGGCCCGCGACCTGGACGACGCCATCGCCGAGGGCCGGGCGTGCAAGCTCCTCACGTTCCTCGACAGACTTATCCTGGCCACCCCGCGCCGGCGCGGCAAGAAGGAAGGGGGTTTGTCTCCGCTCATCGCGTCCCGCCTGCGACTGGCGCGGAAATGGGACTGGGGCGCCCTCTGGCGAGACGCGGCTGCGGCGGGCGGCCACGCGGCGCAACCGGGAGGAAGGGGGAGGACCCTGAAGGAGGAAGCGCGGGCCATCAACGCCTTGGTCTTCGAGGGCTTGCTCAGCAAAGCCTTGTCGCTGGTCCGCAGCACGGGCGCCCTAGCCGCAGGCGCCGCGGTTTACGCCGCCCTCCTGAACCTCTTCCCTGCCGGGACGCTGCCCGGGCGACCCCCCCAAGCGACGGCTTCGGTGTCGCCTGAGAAACGCGCTGACCTTGTGGCCGCGGCGCGCCGACAGCTCAGTCGTTACCCGGCGCGGTCCGGGCCGGGCCCCAATGGCAGCCGCTTCGAAAACTGGGGTACGACCACGGCGGACAGCGATGCAGCAGACCACGCAGCGGAGCTGGCAGTGCGGTTCCTCCTCGGAGAGTGCCCAGACGATTTCCTGCGGGCGAACTTGGGGGCGCGCCTAGTCGCCTTGCGGAAGCCCAACGGCAAGGTCCGCCCGGTTGCCTGCGGCTCTGTGATACGACGGATTGCAGCAAGGGCCGCCTGCTACGTGTACCAAGACGACCTTCGAGACGGCTGCGGCCCTTGCCAGTTCGCTGTAGGGCGGAAAGCAGGGTGCGAAAAGGTCCACAAGGCGATCACGGCCCTCACGGCGGCGGCACCGACTGACGTGGTTCTCGCGTTCGATGCCACTAACGCCTTCAACGCGATCCCCAGAGAGAAGGTTCTCGAAGGTGTGGCCGCCCGCGCCCCGGGGCTGCTGGGCCCGGCGTCAAGCTGGCTATGTCACCCCACAACGCACCTCTGGTGGGGGGCAGGCGCCACGGCCCGGGAGGTGCGAGCCACGCGGGGCGTAGACCAGGGCTGCCCGCTCTCCCCCGGCTACTTCGCCCTAGCCCTCGCAGGGCCACTGGTGGCACTGGATGCACGGCTGCGCCAGCTAGCGCCGACGGCCCTCGTGTTCTCCTACCTTGACGACGTCATGGTTGTCTTGCCCGCCTCTGTCGCCGAGCAGGGTCTGGACGCGGTGGCGGAGGGCCTCGCTGCTGCCGGCCTCACTCTTAACGAGAGCAAGACGGTGGCATGGACGGCAGACCCGACTACGCAGCTCCCGCCGCGACTCGCCCCTTTCCGGAAACCGACTTTACGCTGCTTGGGGGCCGCTGCCCCCTGGGTGGACCGGGAAGACCCTCTCCCGCGCCTGGTGGTACACGGACAAGCAGATGGCCACGAAGCAGTGCAGGCAGCTGACCGCTTGGTGGCGAGACTCCGCGAGCTTCGGTCGGCCGTGCTGGGCTCCCGCGAAAGCTTCCTCCTGCTACAGACTTACTGCAACGGATGCATCACCCACCTCTTGCGGGCCAACTAAAAAAAAACATACGAAACAACAGTAGAACTAAAACAACAAACGATAAACCTAATAATTAACTAACAAAGTTAAACTAAACTAACTAAAATAAACCGACCTAAAATAAGAAGTAAAACGTACCGTCTAAGCGGAGGGAAAAACGGATACTAACTAACAACCAAACAGAAAACTTTTTTACAAACATATAAAAATAACCTAACGGGGGTAAAAAAAAACCTAACAATAGACACTAAACAAACTACGGGCCATCAAACAACTATACTACTACAAGAACGAAGACCCAAGCACGCGACACCCCAAACACCCGGGGCTGGACCACGCTGCTGGACGACGCCGTCGTCAGAGGGATAGAAGACCTACTCGGGTGCCCGCTACGCGCGGACCAAAGAGCGCAGTGTTTTCTCAGACTCGCGCACGGAGGACTGGGGCTGACTTCGGCAGCGGAGACAGCTGCGGCGGCTTACCTGGGAAGCTGGGCTCTGACGTTGAAAAGCGTGCGAGTGTGCCTGGACGCGGTCTCCTGGCAGAGCTTTAGAGCACGGTGCCCTGCTGTGGCGACGCCATTGGGCGCACAGAGGCGAGACTACGGGCACAGGGCAGCGGAACCATCGACGCGGTGGATTGGGCCAGCTGCTGGGACGAACCGCTCGCTGGCCGGCAAGGGTACTGGACAGGGCTGCTTCGGACTCGAGCGCGCGCCGAACTGCTACGGACGCTGGGGGAAGACGACCGCGTTGACCTGCGCTCCGCTGGAGGCCCCGGAGCTGGTGGGTGGCTCGAAATTCCCGTAATCAGGGAGGGGGAGACGCCGGCGAAGGTCCCCAACGCCCACTTCCGCATGGCCCTAGCAGACCGCTTGCGCTGCGACCTCTGCGCCCCTGGAGCGCAGTGCCGGCTCCGCAAGCAGGACGGCACGGTCTGCGGCGCGCTGCTGGACAAGCGCGGGAGGCACGCGCTGAAGTGCCCCTGCGGCCCTTACAGAACAGGGAAACACGACCAGATGCGCGACTGGTGTGCGGCCTACCACCACAAGGTCACGGGGTACGTGGCGACCACGGAGCAGATGGTGTCAGCCTGGCACCGGACTAACCCGAGGACCGGGGAGTGGGAGGAGGCCAAGTTGGACGTCGCCACCCGCGATGCGGTGACGGGCGCCGCGGTCTACCTGGACGTGAGCATCGCCTGCGCTCACAGCGACGACCAGTCGCGCCAGCGGGCTCGCTCCGGCCGGGATGGCCTTGCCGCCCAAAGCCGCGAGGACGACAAGCGGCGGAGGTAATTACCCACCTCACGGGGGCGACCTTGTCCCGGTCGTTTTCGAGACGGGCGGGCGTCCGGGAGATGCGGCGGTGGCCTACGTGCGGTCCCTGGCGCACGGCCTCGAGGGGGCGGCCCGCACCGAGGTGCTGAGGTACGCCTGGCAGCAGCTGAGCTGCCTGCTGCAGGTCGGCAACGCTGAGGCGTTGCTCGCGGCTATCCGCGCCTGAAGCCTGACTGCCAGGTAGGGGAGCCGCCTGCGCGGCAGCACCAGCACAACGAGCGACACCACGGCGAGCGCTACGCCGACGCGAGACGACTCCTGCCGCCAGTACCACCGGCAGCGCCAGCAGCACCACCGCGGCAACCACGCTGCAGCCAGGGAACACCAGCAGCAGCACCGCCGCGGCAAGCCATGCGACCTCGACCAGCACGACGACAACGACGACACCTACCAGGGCGCCAACTTGCGGCGACGACCACCGACTCGACGACCGCCGACCCCCGTCTTCCGTTCCCCCTCCTGCCCTCCTCCCCTCCTGGCCGGCCGCCCTGGCTTCCTAGGGGCGCCTCCTAGTGGTCCTCCTTCTCCTCCTCCTCCTCCTCCTCCTCCTCCTCCTCCTCCTCCTCCTCCTCCCCCCGCCTGACAGGTGAATGGTAAATTCGGATTTTGCAACGCCCCAAAGTGGCTTCGGTTCAGTGCATGACCCCCAGGACCGATGCTCAGGGCCGCCCCCTGAGGGTGGGGGCGCCACACCCGCGACCAGCGCAGGAGGAGGAGGAGGAGGAGGAGGAGGAGGAGGAGGAGGAGGAGGAGGAGGAGGCGCAGGAGGAGGAGGAGGAGGAGGAGGAGGAGGAGGAGGAGGGGCACGAGGCGGAGGAGGAGGAGGAGGCGGAGGAGGAGGAGGAGGAAGAGGAGGAGGAGGAGGCGGTGGGAGAGGAGGAGGAGAGGCACGAGGCGGAGCCTCAGACTGGCGATGCGACGTCAGACTCGGCATGCGAGCACACTCCGCTCACAACACGCGCACGCTAGGCCATCCATCCGTACTTTGGGCCCGGCCTCCACCAGCCATTGAACACTCAGACAGTGTTCCGAAAAGCCTCCGCTTCCTGCCGGGGCCCCCAAAAGGTGCGGTGACCTCGAAATCCCAAGGAGACCTCACCGCACAGTCGGTCACCGCACCGTTTGTGGACCCAGCAGGCCCCAGTCGCCCGAGACATCCTCGGAGAACGACCCAAATGCTAAAATCGTGGTCACCCCGATTCCCCACTGACCCACCACACGGTGTGATCACCGCACATTCGGGGGCCTCCGAGTCCTCCCTTCCCGCTCCCGCGACGTGGGCCTTGGCCCTGTCTGCGAAGGCGTTCGTCACGCTGGTCGGGTCGATATGCCCATCGCCCGTCGTCAGGAGCCCGCCGTAGATTCCAGTACCGTCCAGCTGCACCAGCGGATGCAGAGCCTGTTCGCTCGACGCGCTCCTCATCCTGCAACTGCTCCTCATGCTACCCCTCCTCCTCCTCCTCCTCCTCCTCCTCCTCCTCCTCCTCCACATCTCTCCTCCTGCTCTCCCTCCACGGGTCGGATGTCCAGAGAGGTGTGGGCACCGGATCCTGCCGTCTCCTCTCCTCACTCGTGACCACCCTTGTCCAGCTGCATGGGTAAGACTGCGTCGGACAAACGGTCAGGACGCATCCGTCCCAGGGGCATCCAAGAGCAGGGCGTCACAGAGGGGGGTCGCAGATCGTGGCCGGAGGCGTGTGCGCGGACGATGTGGGGACCAGGGGACGTACCGAAAGGAGACGCGGGGCCCACGAGGTATTATGGCCCCCGCCACGAGATCCCCCCCTAGTCACCACCCCTCTCGTGGCCGCCCCCGACCCCTGAGTTGCAGTGCTCCTCTCGTCGGTGCCAACCCAACGTGGCATGTGAGACCCTGCGCTTCTTCCCATCGGAGGATCCTCTCGAGCCCGTCCGTTCCCATGGACTCTCCACTCCAGGTGGGAGGGATCCTGATCTGGATGTCAGTTTCGTTTAACCGATCCCTGTCCCCACAGGCATGGCGCTGATCCCAATTACAGATTGGCCCCCCCCCCCCCCCCCCCCCCTCCCAAAAAGGATGGGGATTATATTCCAGGGCTCCGCCCACCCGCCCCAATACTAGCGGGGATCGCCGTCCCCACCCCCCCCCCCCGCGCCCCGCCGCCGCCGCCCCCCCCACCCCGCCGGATAGGTACACCCGTGAGCTCGCGAAGGCCTCGCCAAAGGGATCGCTCCCCCCCCTCCCCCCCTGTGGTCGTCGTCGTCGTCGTCGTCGTCGTCGTCGTCGTCGTCGTCGTCGTCAACGTCGTCCCCCCATCCCATTTGCGGGGCCGGGATCATATATGCATTTCCCTTTGGGCTTTCTGGGCTGATCCCCACCTTGGGAAGGCTGACAGGGCCGAAATTCCATGGCCCAGCGGGGATGAGGATCGCTTGACCGATGCTGAGCACTGGAGGGTCCTAATTCCATTGGGTGACCTGAATCTCCATTAGAAGATCCCAATTTCAACGGCTCCCCACTCCTCTTCTGACCCCTTCCGCTTTCCCATGCTGGCGGGCTCGACTGCTGCCGCCTTGATCTCATCCAAGCTGATGAGGTGGTGCTCCTGGGCAATCAAGTAGCGGCATACGGCATACGCATCAGCTTTCGAAGATCCCCTCAGATTTCTTGGGTCGGAGCTAGATCCCTGTCTCGTGGCGCCCGAAGCGCGCCATTGGTGGCGTCAAAGGCACCGACAGTGGGGTCCAGCGCCGCCCCAAGAAATCTGCACGGACCTCCAGAAGATGACTGTGATGCAGCTTTTGTTCCCCGAGCTCCGAGCAGTCAAACAACCTAGGTCGGGCGTTGCTAGAGTTAGATCGGGCATGTCCCCCGACAGGCGGATTTTGGATGACAAATCGAAGAAACCTCACACGTGTTCAAAAATAGTCAAGAAATATAAACAATTCGTCCCCAGACTATTTTTGGACTATTTTTGAATATTCCTCCTGTAGAGGGACAGGCCCGACTTGATGGTGGAGGTGCCCCTGGCACAGGGTGGCCCCCACGCCCTCCCGCGCACCCCTCGCGAGGCCCAGAAGGCCCCAGGGTTGAGCAGGGACCGACAATCCCAGCATTTCTGCAGGGCTACCACGACATGTTCTTAGACTCCGAAAATGTTTTAAGAGCAAAAACAATGTTTTTAGAACAGAATCCCGATGTGTGAAAACAATACTGACTCAGCCAGAAATGTTCTAAGAACATTTCGTGCAAACCACAAACAGGTTCTTGGAATAGTTCTTGGTGGGCCTACAGGCGAGCCAGGACGCTTCGCCACTGCTTCACAGGGGCTCCAGACTGAAGCGAAAAGCGGGAGGCACCTTGGGCAGAGGGGCACCTCTAGCAACGCCCGACTGGGAGGACGCCCACGATACACGTCCACGCCGGCCCTGGCCGGGCGAATCCGGGGCCCCGGACCCGAGTGTGCGCCCTCCTGGCGCGGCCAGGGAGGCATCTGGGCCCTGATCCTGCGCCCCGGACGGGGCCCGCCAGGGACGGCGCACGTGCATGGATACTGCTTCGCCCCGCCCGGCGACCCCGAGAAGATCTTGCTCTTGGAGATGTGGTACTTGGCCTCGTCTATGTACGCGCGCTCGTTCGGGATGAGGCGGATCGAGCCTGAGGGGGGGGGGGCCCAACCGCCGGTCGCGCTGCTGCCTCTGCGCGCCCCCCCCGCGCCTGCTGCTCATCCCTTCCTCCTCGTCCGCACCCAGCGCCCTCCGCGTCCCTCCCCCTTCCCACGTCGAAGGGCTGGCGCGACGGGGGCGACCCAGACATCCGACTGCTCCAGATTTTGTTGGGGGGGCGTGGGCCCAGGAGGTCTGGACCACTTCCCCGGGACCGGTTTTTTGTCCTGAGTCGTTCTGTGGACGCTCCCGAGGCCCGGCGAGGGCCCCTGGATGCCGAACATCGCCAAAAACCGCCCGCTCCGATTTTTTGGGGAGCGTCAGATCTCAGGGGACCCGTCCTCGAGGATGGCGCCTTGGTCTTCGTGGACGGCTCGGGGCTCGACCAGGACCACCCCCCGGGCTCAGGACGGCGGGCTGGGCGGTCGTGGCCTACGACAGCCAGAGGGCTTCGGGCCGCGGCCTGGGGGGCCGACGCCCTTGGCCGAGGGGCCCGACTGGCTGCCGCGAGACGGGGAGGACTTCGCAGTGAAGAATGCTCCTCAGCGTGGTGGCGGGTGGGAAAATCATGATGGGCCTGTTTTCCACCACCACCACCACCATAAGTTGAAGGGGGTGAGGAGGCGGAGGATGAGGAAGAGGAAGAAGAGGAGGAGGAGGAGGAGGAGGACCCTTGCCCCTCCTACTCATGGTGGTGGCGGTGGAAAACAAGTCCACCAGTACAAGCTTTAGGTCGGGCATGTCCCTCTGCAGGCGGTTTTTGGGCCAAGAATGAACAATACTCCAATACTGCCCCACAAATACTGCCCCACAATTACTCAAAAATGGTACGGAAGTCCTCCAGTCTTCTGAAGAGTTTTCGAAGCCTTCCCCAAGGACAGAGCGAACTTTCCTCAGACGGCGCCAGGGTTTCCGAGAAGTCACGCCGCCTTCTGAAAGGCCTTCGCCTTCTCACTTCCCCCCCTCGCTCGCCGCAGAGACAAGCTGCGCGCCGAGCAGGCCGAGCTCGCTGCCGTCGTGGAGGATTTCTGCTGCCTGACCACCAGCCTTCTGCCAGGAGGGCGGCGGGGACACCGCGGCCGAGGCCGTGCAGGAATGCGCCACGGCCCGCGGCGTCGAGACGGCCCTGGTGGCCTTTCTCGCCCGCGTCGCGAAGGCGCCGCCTGTAGTTGGTCACGAGCGTGTGATTACGTGGCCCTCCAACATGCCCCGTGTTCGAATATCAAGCTTGCTGTGAAAGTGGGCCCGCGCGCAGCGAATGCCAGTCGTTTCAGCTTCTCTCGCTCGCTGCTCGTCGTCGTCGTCGTCGTCGTCGTCGCCATCGTCAATGCCAGCTGCTCGGACGAGTGCACTGGTGAATGATGATCTTCTTGCTCAACACTTGCGCAGGTTGGCGCACCTGGGCCCCCTGGCTGCTCCCCCGCCACCCACGCGAAGCCCAACCGACCCGGATGCACGGTCAGCTGAGCACCTCGCGGCCTCCCACGAATGGCAAGACCGGTATGTTCGAAGCCCTCGCCCGAGGAGAAAAAGAGGCTAGACTGATTCGCGATTGAGCTCGCCACGTGCTCCTCCCTCGGCTCATCGCGCGGCTGACTGCTTCGGTGCTCCGCCGCCGTGTCGTCGTGCGTCCCGGGTTCGGGGCCGAAGATTATCTCCTTCCCCCTCTCAGGGAGACGGACTGCACGCCTGCGCCATGTTGCTGCTCACATTAGCAGTTGGCGCCATCGTCTGCCCTCGTTGTGCAACACTGACTGCAGAGGAGCGCGCACTTGCTGGAGTTGTCAGCTATGCGTCCCTGCCTCTGCCTTCCCTCTCGTTGCCGGCGTTCTCCCGAGGCTGGGGGTATTAGCTTGGCGTCCCAGTCATACTTTCTCCTTCTCGGTATCATGCATCCTCCCTCCCTCCCTCCCTCCCTCCTACCCCCTCCCGAGTGGCCGAGTGCCCGCGATACGGTAGTCGATCCTGTGTACGACCCGATGCCTGCCCAGCTGCTCAATTTGAGGAGAGGGGTCTATCGGAGGGATCATGCCATACGGCAAGTTCGTGTCGTGTCAACTGGCACCGCGGGGATCGTTCAACCTTGAACGATCGGCCGCTTGCGCACCGTCCGATCTTTCATCGGCCGCCGCCCGTCGACACGACACGAACTTACCGTAGGGGTGGGAAGGACACTGCTCTCAGAACTCCCTGCTGCCAGGGCAGAGTCTTTAGCCAGGCTGAATGTTCTGCGAGTTGCGTGCCGGCCTCTGCTGACAGTCTCCCAGCTTGATCAGCGTCGCACTCCAAGATCATCCCTCCTCTCTCCTCCTCCCTCTTTCCTCATCACTCGTCAATCCCGTTTCCTTGTGAACAACTCCTCCCCTATCGCACCGCCAGACGTGTGCGTAGGGGCAGGGGATTTCGCTCGAGCCTCCCTTGCAAGTACTACTGTGACTACTTTCAACCATACAAGAAAACGAAACTCACATCAACTCGAACAACTTTCCAGGACGGGGAGCTAGCCGTTGTCAAAATGCGCTGACCCGGTCGGCAAGTGGAAGAGGCTGTCCCCGTCGTCGTCGCCGCTTTCCCTCCTTTCCCGAAGAGGCTGTTGACGCTGTTCCGTTTGACTCGTTGTCGTCGTCGCCGTCGTCGTCGTCGTAGCCGTCGCCGTCGCGGTCGCCGTGGTCGTGGTCGTCGTCCTCTCGCCGCTCCCTCTCCCCCTTTTCTTCGGTCCTCCTCCTCCTCAAGCGCGCCAGCCAAAACGAAAGCGAAATGCCGAAGCGAAAGCGAAATAACGTCGTCATTGATTCGAAGGGAAGCCCCTTCCCTTTTATCCCGAACTTCCCCGCCAAGGGTGGGGGGGTCCCGGGGGGCGGTCCCGGGGGGGTCTTTTTCAAAACAGGGCTCTCGCCTGACTTTTCCGCACAGTTGTAATGCCATACATTTAAAATCCCTCTAGTCATCTGGGCGCAGGTGGCCTAACACAGTTTTTTCCTTCCTCTTCCCAAGCCCTCTTCCACTCGGCGAGGGATATCCTCCACCTCCCAGTCGAAAACAAGCTGGTAAGCTTAGGTATGTGTTACGCTTTAAGCGTTGCCATATCCCAGGCTTTGGCTCATATCGCATGAGCAAGAGAGCAAGACGAAGCATGGGATCTGGAGTAAAGGATAGGATGGGCATCGTCAATGGAAAAGGTATTTTCCGATCTCAGATACCAGTCGTGCGCCTCGGTGAGGCACAATCACATATTTGGCCGGGCCCGGCTTGAGCCAGGCACGGCAGCGGTACATGCTCGATTTATACCTCGCCTTTAACCTTCTCCGTTTAAAGTCGGAGGGGGAGAAGACGAGCAGGCACCGCACTTCTACATTATGCGGAAAAACAGTGCTAAGCAGCAGCGGCTGCCTACAAGGAAAGGGCGCGCGAGTAGCCTCGCTACCGGCGAGTTTCCTCGCTATAAAAGCGCACCTGCCCGCGGGTTTCCCCGCTAGCTCGGGATTAAAAATAATAAAAATGAAGAAAAAATACAAAGGAAAGAAATAAAAAAAAGAAAAAAAAAAATACAAGAGGAAGAGAAAATAAAAATAAATCTAAGAAAAAACAAAATAATATAAAAAAGCATAAAAAAGAAGAAAAAAACATAATAAAAAAAAAAAACAAAAAAAGATAATACGAAACATAAATAAATAAAAAAGAAAAAAAAAATCTCTCGGGGGCAGGGCCGTCCTGAGTCGCGTCCTGAGACGAACTGCCCGCCCTATACGGTGTATGTTTCTTCAGCTCGTGCTTGAAGGATTGCTGGCCGGCCATTACTTGTAGGAGCAACGCGCGGTCAATACTACCTTTGGTATGACCATCGGCAGTCATATCCCGCGTGTCACTCCATTGAACGCTTTCAACGATTCCGCGCTCCATCATCTGGCGGATCCAGCTAATGTGCCCAAGCAGAGTACATTCTGTGGGCTTCTTCAGATCTTTGCTAGATAAAGACTTGAAGACAGACTCGGCATCAATAGTCAGAGTGACTTTGATACATAGACCACCCATTTCCAATATGTTATTAAACTGTGTGGGGGTCAATGGTCCCGAGTGTAGCTCGTGGAGCGTTACAATGGTCGGGTAGCAGTCTTCCAAGTTGTGGGCTGCTGCCAGTGTTTCCGCAGAGTAGCTCGAACGCAACTGCAGTCGATGAGACTTGCAGTATGCGTCCACCAGGTGCACGACGGGTTTCCCCGCTTGCGTGTGGCCACGCCTTAGCAGGTTAGCCCCGCGGATACCATAGCCTTTGACTTCGTCGTCTTCATCTCCGTTGAGACGACGATAGCCAGAATCGCTATGCAGGTCGACTTCTCCTGTTGGGGTCATAGCTTGATACACGATCTTCTTCGGACCTGCCTGTAGCTTTCTGGTAACCGCGTTTAGTCGTCGTACCTGGATGTTTGTCGGTTCCTGGATACGTTGAAGTGAGACAACATAGACCATCAGCCATACCTGCGTGATCAACGCATAGGCTAGAGCGCCACGAAGACTGACGAACATATCAGAAATCGTCTTTGTCGCATTGCTCTCAGGATCAGCTCCTGTGAGTTCTGGATGTGTGATAGGACGAAGCTGTTTGATGTATTCGTCCTGATCAAGAGTGACGCTCCCATCATCGGTCTTGTTATACCGAACGGCGCAATTTGTGTATGTGTGCTTGTTCAGTTTGCACTTCCCAAACGTATCTTCAACACACTTGACATACTTGTCAATAGCCTCTTCCTTCCCAGTCATATTGATGTCATCAACGTGCTTGGCTGTCAAGAGGTTTGAGCTCATCTAGAACTCTTCGTCGTATGAAGTAGGCTGTAGCCCAAAGCTCCTAGTGATGGACCTGAGCTTCAGCGAGAATGCCCTGGGAGCATCCTTCGCGCCCGTCCCCGGCTTCAGACACCGAAGACAATGCTTTGATTCGTCATATGACTCAAAGCCTGGCAGTGTGCGAAGGACAGCTGCTGACCAGGTGGTAGT